GCCGCCAATCAATGACTCTCTCTCATTGATGTTCCTATCTCTCTCTCCCTCTCCCTTCCTCTCTGAAATCAATAAAAAAATATTTTTAAAAATACGGATTTTTACAACACTATCGCTGCCCAAAATGCGCTGCATGGACCTAATCATGAAGACCCCTGGGACTAACCTGGACTGAGGGACAATCTAATAACAACGGGCTGGATGCCTCAAGATCCCACGGTCCTGGCAGAGCAGGTCGGTCGGTCTCGGGCCCGTCCTTGCGTGGAGGGTCTTGCCTTCACTCTCAGCCGAGCAACACGGGAGCCTGGGCCGCGAAAGGTCGGCAACGAAAGCCCCGAGACAAAGCGGCCAGCGAGGCCTCGGTGGAGCTTCCCACGCGAAAGCTTCCGGCTTTGCCAAGTGTCCTGCTGAGTAAGTGACTGTCCTGTCCTTTTCCTTTTTTAATTAATATGCTATTTCCATTTACACACGAGAAAACAATACATTAATTTCATTAATGAAATATAACACAGAGGAGAAGGAAAAACACACAAAATTTGAGAACAGTAAACTCTGGGTTTTTTCTTTGGGTAAGAAACAGCCAATCAAGATATTCACGAAGACATCCGAGAGATGCAAATCAAAACAACAATGAGGTACCATCTCACACCTGTCAGACTGGCTATCATCAACAAATCAACAAACGACAAGTGCTGGAGAGGATGTGGAGAAAAAGGAACACTCGTGCACTGCTGGTGGGAATGCAGACTGGTGCAGCCACTATGGAAGACAGTATGGAGTTTCCTCAAAAAACTGGAAATGGAACTCCCATTTGACCCTGTGATCCCACTTCTAGGAATATATCCCAAGAAACCAAAAACACCAATTAGAAAGGATATATGCACCCCTATGTTCATAGCAGCACAATTCACCATAGCTAAGATTTGGAAACAGCCTAAGTGCCCATCAGTAGATGAATGGATTAGAAAACTGTGGTACATCTACACGATGGAATACTATGCTGCTGTAAAAAAGAAGGAACTCTTACCATTTGCAACAGCATGGATGGAACTGGAGAGCATTATGCTAAGTGAAATAAGCCAGTCAATGAAGGAAAAATACCACATGATCTCACTCATTCATGGATAATAGAGACCATTACAAACTTTTGAACAATAATAGATACAGAGGCAGAGTTGCCTCGAACAGAGTGTCAAACTACAGCAGGAAGGCCGGGAAGGGTGGGGGGGTAGGGGGGGGGTAAGAGATCAACCAAAGGACTTGTATGCATGCATATAAGCATAACCAATGGACACAGACACTGGGGGGTAGGGGAGGCCAGGGGATTGTCAAGGGCGGGGGGAAAAAAGGAGAAACATGTAATACTCTTTGTAATAATTTAAGCAATAAAAAAAAAAAAAAAAGATATTCACGAAGAAACACCTTCACCAATTTACGGATTCTCTCAAAAACAGGACGCGTTTGCAGGGAAGCGCATGTGACCAGCTGTCCCTCTGTCACGGCTGTGACCCGGGTCAGGCACGTCCACCTCAGGCCCTCCTCACAGCATTCCTCCTGGAGAATTTCTCAGCGCTCCGCCACCTCCCCGTATGATCCAGCTCAGCTCCCAAGCCACGCTGGCGATCAGGGTGTCAGTTCTCTCTCACACAACCTTACAAATTGAAAATGGCCTAGATGCCCGGCCCGTGTGGCGCAAAGGTCGAGTGTCGACCTATGAACCAGGTCACAGTTCGATTCCCAGTCAGGGCAAAGCCTGGGTTGTGGGCTCGATCCTCGTGTGGGGCGTGCAGGAGGCAGGTGATCAATGATTCTCTCTCATCATTGATGTTTCTCTCTCCCTCTCCCTTCCTCTCTGAAATCAATTAAAAAAATTTTTTTAAAGCTTAGGAACAATGGCGTTGTGTTAGCAGTTAAGTATGTGAACACTCCTAGCAAGCTGGACAAAAAGCTTAAAGACCCCCCTCTCATGTCATTTCGATGTGGCCCCACTCGCCTTGGGGCACCTCTTGCATCCGACCCAGCCTGGCATTGGACATCCTCGTATTTTTCCTGCCCAGACCTGTTCTCAGCTATTTCTTCTTTTTTTTTTTTAATATAATTTTATTGATTTCAAGGAGGAAGAGGGAGAGAGAAACAGAAACATCAGTGATGAGAGAGAATCATTGATCGGCTGCCTCCTGCAGGCCTCACACTGGGGATCGAGCCTGCAACCCGGGCATGTGCCCTGATCGGGAATTGAACCCTGACCTCCTGGTTCAAGGTCAACGCTCCACCACTGAGCCATGCCGGCCTGGCTCAGCTATTTCTTTAGGGACCCCGAGGCTCATTGCTATAGGGCAGAGGTCGGAAAACTCATTAGTCAACAGAGCCAAATATCAACAATATGATGATTGCCGACCACGGCTGTAGGGAATTATTCTTCCAGGCCCTCCCACCGTATAGAGTAAGAAAACACACCTGCCCTGTCAAGTCACGCTCCCCCCAGGCCACTGCGGGATTTGCTGTGGGACTAATGAGCTCCTTCGAAGGTGCTCTGCCTCAGTCTGTGCTGTTTCTCATGTTCCTTAGCGACACCCTCCAAGGACGTGTAAGCTTCACGTCTCAGAAAACGGCATCTATCCCGGGCCCGACCCTAACCCAGGCTCCCTCATGTTCCTCGGGGCCATCTTTTATATCCACCTTCTCCCCAAGGGAACTGACTCCCAGGAAGAAACGCTCAGGGAGCAGAGGAATCAAGCAAAAGCTCACAAACCCCTTTTCTCTTCTTCCTGGGACCCTTTTCCACAGTGGACCTGGGTCGTGGTCCCCAAGATCTAAAGCCAATGTGCCCACTTACTGTGAATTCGTTCACTTCAATGCAGCACCTTTGTCAGCACTGAATGCATGGAGGTGACACTGGTTAATAAACTATATGGGTCTCAGGTGAGCCGCGCTGCAGCCGCCATCTGTGTCCTGTGTCCTGTGTTGTGTCCACCGGCCCAGTCGTCTCCTCCGGCGGCTGTCCTTGCTCTTCGCAGGAACAACGGGCACAAGGGGACATCGCGTCTGCCACCGACTCAGACGTTCACGTTCAAATGGACTCGGGGCAGAGTTCTAAGCTGGGGGGCCTTTAACCGACCGGCTGCTCCCCGTCAGAGCCGAGGGTCTGGGCCTCGCCTCTCCTCCCGGGAAGACCTCCGACCCACGAGAGCTCCTTGAGGCCCGAGTGCTCGGGACCTTGGCTCAGAGCTGGGCCCCTTCAGCTACAAACGGAGGACAATGGCCCTGGGGCTGTGGGCGCTTCCCAGAGAGCAGGGAGCAAGGCCCCGCTGGGCCGACCGGTCCTGGGCTGGGCAGCCTCCTCTGTGACCAGCCCTGGGCCCTGGGGACAGGGTGGCCCCGCCGGCTGCCTTGGCCCTTTGAGGCCCAGGTGCTTCCCGGCAGGTAGGACCCC